CCCTGCTGACCTGATAGATGCCTAACTGCTCCCCTGCTGGCCAGATCACCCCCAAGGCTTTTATTAGTATAGTATCGTATGAAATTTTCACAGAAAATTTCACTAACCCTGCTTTACAATAAGGGCTTGACGATTGAATCATTGGGGCCAGACACCAAGATTCCTTTCTTTGAATTGCAGAGGGAATAATTATCTTGTTTTTAAGTTGCCCTAAACATCAAATAAGATAATGGCTTAGAAAAGTATAAAAGCACCATATAAAGACAACTGTCTTTTTCAAGTACTGAAAAGACAATAAAGTGGTAAAATGAAAAACACTATTTTTATTCTCCCCCTTCCTTCCTTTACAGCCTTTATTTAAACTTTGAAATTTAGAAAAATTTCACTATTTTCATTTCTTTACATTCAATATTATTTTGTATTAGTTTCAGGTTTTATATTAGTTACAGAATAGTGGTTAGACAATCATATACTTTATAAAGTGTTCCCCGATATTTCCAGTACCCACCTGGCTTCATATCGTCATTACAACACTATTTAAGTGACAATAGGTTTACAGGTTCCTTCCAACCTTTCTTTTGTGTTGCTCGCCCTTCCTGTTTTTTCTCGTCTTCACTCATTTTCTTTATATAGTATCTCAATTGGCCCTCAAAGCTCAGTGAAGGCACTGGGACATGCTTAATCCATTTTACAGACCAGGAAACTGAGGCCAATTCCAGTTGGCTATGGAACTGGATTCAGCATGCAGGAAGCCCTCACAGCCATGCTCTCCACCTTTCCTAAGGGACAGCCACAGGACAAACAACAAACCTCCCCGTGAGGCTTCTGAGCCTTGTTCTTAAGCACCTCTTCATCATGGATGCTCCAAATTCTTTCCTCTCCCCACTCTCACCCCCATTCTTTACTACCTCCCCTCCTGGGGAGCAGGTGGTAGGCTTGGCACTCACTGTGCAGGCAACCGCCCCCATGGGGAGGGGCGGGAACTGGGGGCCGAGCGGGGCGAGAACTGCTCAAGCACCTCTTCATCTTCATCGTGGACGCTCCACATTCTTTCCTCTCTTCTGCCCCCATTCTTTACTACCCCCCCTTCTCTGGAGCAGGTGGTAGGCTTCACACTCACCATGCAGGCATGAGCTGTGGTAGGGCAGGGCTGGCCGGGCTTGCTTTTGGGCCAAGGCGGGAGCAGGAGTCCCAGCCTCTCAAATGTGCAGGCCACGGCAAGGCCCCGGTTAGCGCCGGGAGCTTCACCAAACCACCGCAGTGGGGTACCCAGCAGTGCAGAGTCCCTCCACTGAGGTGGTGCCGCCCCTCAACCCCCGCCTCAGGGCTGCGAGTTTGTGCCCCTCTGCCTGGGCGTCCTTCCATGCTGGCAGTCATTGCCTGTTGTTTCCCATGTCTTGGGGCCACTGCAGAACCTTGCTCACTGCAGGCAAGGCAGATCCCCGCCCGCCAGCACCCTACGAGGCCTGAGACCCCTCCAGTGCACCTCGCCTTGGCACCGCTCTGCGCCCTTGGGCTGCCCGCCTCCTGGCCAGCTGCTTCGCTGAAGCCATAGCGCTTGCCCCTCAGGCGGAGGCCTGTCCACACGCCTGCAGACGCCATGGCCGCGGCTCCTGGCTGGCCGCTTTGCCTAAGCTTCCTCTTCCTTCACGTGCTCTCCTCAGACCCCCAGAAGCTTGGCCCCGCGGCCCTGCCCTTCCATGGCTCCCTGTAGCCCCCGCTCAACTCAGCTCTCCCGGGCAGCCTGCCTGTCAGGAAGCTGCCGGGGCACCTTGCTGTGGGCAGTGCGGTTCTGGAGCAGGGGCTGGGGTGTAGGGAGCAGCTCCAGTAAAGTTTAGTAAACCTAAGGGCCCCAGCTCCTCCTTGAGCAGAGCCCAGGGCAGGCTGGGGGCCTGGGTTGCCGGGGCTGGGGGCCTGGATCCAGACAGTGCAGCGGCGGAGGCGGTGGCAGCAGAGCGGAGAGGCTGCATTGGCCTGCCAGAGTGGGTGGGTTGTGCCTCGCTGCTCGGCCCGGCCCCGGCCGGGTCCACAGGCCCACATACTGCAGCGGCAGCAGCAGCGGCAGAGCAGGGAGGCTGCATAGGCCCACCTGAGTGGGCAGGTCATGCCTTCCTTCCTGCTCGCCCCTGCGGCCCCCAGCCGGGTCCACAGGTCTGGACACTGCCGCGATCAGCCCACTGGAGTGGTAACAGGCCTTGACACTTCAGCAGTGGGGCTGAGGGGACTGGGCGCTGCCATCTTTGTGACGGAGTGACAAAGTGATGGTTAATTTCCATACTACTCTTTTATTAGATAGGGTAGCCGGGAAATAACAAAGCACTGTCAAGCTCTTGGGTTATCTATAAAATATAATGTAATTAGGCCATAAGGAACCATGCAAGTTATAAATCACGAAAAGTCCTCTATACTACTTTTGTACTTTGTACATGCTGTTACTGTACCTATTGCTCTATGTAGTTTTATTTTATTTACAGGTCTCCAATCTCTCTAGAATATAAGCTCCACATGGGCAGGTAATGTTTTTATTTTTTTGCTTTGATAATACTTAGCATTTAAGATGCATTCAACTGATGTTTATTGCACTGAAGGAAACCACTTTAAAGAAACAAGAGATAGTGCTTGGGGTATTTAGTTACATACACCTAAGAAATTTACAAGGCTAAATTCTAGGGGAGAAACCACTATTTTAAACCAACCAATTAACCCTCTTCCAAAATAATCCACATAAAATTTATGAAACAAAAGGCTTTTTAAAAAACCCATCCAATTTGGAAACCCACCAAAGCTGTTTGCAGCAGCTTTTCCATATGAATGTCTTGTCGTGGCTCAGGCTTCGGACTTTCCTAAAATCTTTCAAACAAGCAGCAGCTGGCATCAGTATGCCCCATACCTATCAATAGGTGCCCAAGACTCAGCACTAGCACCAACCTATGTTGATTCACAGCTTGGCCTCACCTGAACACTTCTAAGCCCAATATAAGTAGCAGCCATCTGAAGATTGCTCTGTAGCTCCTGCCAGGTGGCCCCAGGCATGCAGCTCCTGCCAGGTGGCCCCAGGCAATGCCTGACTTTGCACCTCCCAGGAGGCCCCAGAACCAGTGCACCTGGTGGACAGCTTCAGACCATACTAGAGTACAACTCTACACATCCACAAGTGACACACTCAAATGGCAGACTCAGTGAGCACCAAAGCCCCAGTGAAGCAAGTCCAGCTCCACAGGGGTGTCTCCTGCACAGCAGCTCTTCCATTATAGTCGCAGCTGGTCCTCACAGCCAACTGGTCTGGAGATCAATTCCTCCCAGTGATGCCAATGGCAATCAAGGCTCAACTACAACAAGAGTGTGCACATAGCTCACTCAGGGGCACTGCTAGAGTACCCTACCCAGTTCAAGTGACTGAGGAGGCTACTGGACCTTACAGGACACCTCCTATACAAGGCCACTCTACCAATTCTAGGAGACATAGCAGCTCTACCTAATACATAGAAATAAACTCAGGGAAGCAGCCAAAATGTGGCCACAAAGAAACGTAACAAATGAAAGAACAGAACAAATCCTCAGAAAAAGAACTAAGTAAAATGGAAGCAAGCAAACAACTACATATAGAGTTCAACACAATGGTTATAAGGTTGCTCAAGGATCTTAATGAAAGCTTCAAGGGACTTAGTGAGACTTTCAAGGACCTTAGTGAGAATTTCAAAGCCATGAAAAAGGACCAGTCAGAAATTAAGCACACACTAACTGAAATGAATAATTTACTGGGATTCAACAGTACAGTAGAGGATTCCAAGAATCAAATTAATGATTTGGAATATGAGGAAGCAAAAAAAACCCCACCCAATCATAAGAGCAAAAAGAAAAAAGAACCCCAAAATATGAAGATAGTATAAGAAGCCTCTGGGACAACTTCAAGCATACCAACATTAGCATCATGGGGGTACCAGAAGGAGAAGAGAGAGAACAAGATATTGAAAACCTATTTGAAGAAATAATGACAGAAACCTTCCCCTATCTGGTGAAAAAAATAGACTTATAAGTTCAGGAAGTGCAGAGAGTCCCAAACAAGAGGAACCCAAAGAGGCCCACACCAAGACACATCAACAATAATAAAAGCATAATATGC